TTTTTTTTTTTTAAGTTTTAAAAATCAGTGTGCTTACAGTGGGACATGGTTGCACATGCTTATAATCCCAGCACTTGGGGTGGTGAGGCAGGAGGATCATTGTGAGTCTGAGGCTAGCCTAAACTACATAGGGAGATGCTGGCTCAACCCCCTCAACTCACCCCATCAAAGCAATTAGTTTCTTTGCCTTTTCCTTTTTCTTTCTTTTTTTTTTTTTGAGACAGGGTCACTATACAGCTTAGGCTGGCCTTGAGCTCACTTTATAGCCCGGGTTGGTCTTGAACTCATGACAGTCCTCTTGCCTCAGCCTCCCGAGTGCTGGGATTACAGGCATGTGCCACCATGCCCAGCTAAAGCAATTAGTTTTTAATTTAACAATCTACTCTTTCTACACTGAATAGAAATAAAAGTTATGTATATTTTTAAGGAATAGAGCTTACAGTGTAATGGTTTTTAAAAGTTCCAAGATGGGACTCAGTATTATATAATGATCTGAAATGTGAAATATATTGAATTATCTTACAGTATTACTTTGGAGACTTCAATTTGCCACGGGACAAATTTTTAAAGGAACAGATCAAATTGGATGAAGGCTGGGTACCCTTAGAAATAATGATAAAATTCAACAGGTAAAAACTTTTTGTTTGCATTCTGGAGAGCAACTCAAGGGCCTTGTGCATGCTAGGCAAGCACTCTACCACTGAGCCAAACCCAGAGCCCAAATACCTTTTAATAACCTTTATGAACTATTAGGTTTTTTGTGAATTATGAGTACTAGTACTGAGTTTTAAAATGTTTTGTCTATCTCTCTTCAGGCTCAACCGCCTAACAACAGACTTTAATGTAATAGTGGAAGCACTGAGCAAATCTAAAGCAGAACTCATGGAAATCAGTGAAGATAAAACTAAAATCAGAAGGTCTCCAAACAAACCCCTCCCTGAAGTGACTGATGAGTATAAAAATGATGTAAAAAACAGATCTGTTTATATTGTAAGTCTTTAATGCATTTAATGTCTTATATTTCTTTAGAAAGAAAATAGAGGGGCTCAGGGATCACAGTGTCAGTACTGATTATGAGTCCTTTGACAGTGTTCTTAACCTCTGTAAGCCTTATTTTCATAAATACGATAATATTGCATAATTGAAATGTGAGAGTTAAATGAAAAAAACCCATAGCATTTATGAAGCGCTCAGTGTATCAGGTGTTATTTATCAATAGCTAAACGCTAGCATTTGTATTAGCATATTTTTAATTACGGAAGGTTTGAGATGCAAAAGTAGATTAAATAGTGTGATGTACATTCTTCAAATTTTAACCTGTGAATAATATTTTGTCTCTGCCCCAATGGAAATGTTTTGAAGCCTATCTTCCCACTTTTCACAGAAAGGCTTCCCAACAGATGCAACCCTTGATGACATCAAAGAATGGCTAGAAGATAAAGGGCAAGTACTAAATATCCAGATGAGAAGAACATTGCACAAAGCATTTAAGGTATGATTTTATGATGATAGAGGCTTTCTCTAGTTGTAAGTTTTGTGGGACACAACTTTGAAAAAAAAAAAAAAAACTCTTCCTCCCCTTTTTCCCTTTTTTTTAAACAGGGATCAATATTTGCTGTGTTTGATAGCATTGAATCTGCTAAGAAGTTTGTAGAAACTCCGGGCCAAAAGTATAAAGACACAGACTTGCTAATACTTTTTAAGTAAGTTTTTTGCTGTTTGTTCTAGTCATTTAGTTAAACTGTAACATACTTAACCATATTTTGAGACTGTAGGTGGGTATTCTGATAGACAGTGTACAGTCCTGCTATGTTGTGCTGAAATCATTCAAAATAATTTAGTCTTGTCATGACCTTAGCCTTCCTATTTTGTGTTGTTTAGGGAAGATTATTTTGCAAAGAAAAATGAAGAAAGAAAGCAAAATAAAGTGGAAGCTAAATTAAGAGCTAAACAGTAAGTATGTTGAATTAATCACGACATACTTGAATTCCTTAAAGTTTTTATAAGGTTGGAGTTAATGGTTCTTGGAAGAGCTAATGATGAGCTTTGAAATAAATAGTAACAGTTCTTTCTTATTAGCAGTGAAATTTTTGTGTTGAAGTGGCCTTGCTATGTTGAGGCCACATTCCATTGCAATCTAGAGTTGGATGGCAGAAAAACTAAGGACTGGTTTATTAATTAGTTTTAATGGTTATGACCAAAGTTATTTATTAGGATTTAATTTTCTTTCATAATCAGAAACATAATTAAAGCATATTCATTTGTAGAGAGCAAGAAGAAAAACAGAAGTTAGCAGAAGATGCTGAAATGGTAAGTATGTAATACTGGTATCTGACATACCTATAATTTAAGTGAGAATATCTTCAAAAAGTCTGAGAACTTGTGGGTGTGTTTGGGGGTGGGGATTGAATCCAGGGCCTTGCACATGCTGTACCACTGGGCAACATCCCACAGCCATGTTTGAGGAGTTTTCGAAAAAAAATGTAAGCAGACTTAAGGTTATCATTGCACTAAAGTTACACAAATAATACTGTCTAAAGTTATTACTTATTCAGATATCTTAATAACCAGGCTTATATAGTTTAGGACTAATTACATAGCACTTATAAAGAAATTAAGATAAACTAGAAGCTGATATAGAATAAAAGATGGCAAAGGAGAATACACTATTAAATTACATTAAAATAGCAATTTTTTGCTAGCTTTTTCCTTGTATAGGTAGGGTGAATATCAGCCATTTCTGGTTACATGATTGTTTTAAAAAATTTTTTTGATTGCCTTGCATATTTTCATAGAAATCTCTAGAAGAAAAGATTGGATGCTTGCTGAAGTTTTCGGGTGACTTAGACGATCAGACCTGTAGAGAAGATTTGCACGTCCTTTTCTCAAATCATGGTGAAATAAAATGGATAGACTTTGT